GGGTATAGGGTTTAGGGTTGAGAGTTCTTGGTTTAGGGTTTAGGGTTTAGACTTTAGGATTCAGGGTTTTGTTTCTAGGTTTTCGTGTTCAGGGTTTAGGGCTCATGGGTTTCCCTACTACCCCTGCGCCATATACTAATTTTCCAAGGTACCCCCCTGTTGCTCTGTTAGGAAAGTAGGTTCTGATTATAGAGGAATAAAGGGGGGGTTAGCATGGGCTTGGGAGGGGGGCACAGTAGGGGAACCCATGACCCTCTACATGTATATATATATATATATATGTATATATCTGTACTGTGAGGCACTGTAACAAAATACGATGTAATATAACCCAAAAGATTAATGAAGTACAGCATACCACTGTACTGGTACGAATCTTATCGTACAAAAAAGTACAGTATGTTAGACTATCATAAACTGCGACAGCGAAGAACACATTCTATAAAATGTATAGTTGGTAGTTTAATGCCCCCAAACACTATAATCCTTAATTATTGGGACCCCCAAAAAGTTACTTTTGGGAAATTCCCCGAGAGTTGTTGCGAGCCAGGCCAGAGTCGCCACTGCCCCTCTTCTGGCGCATTGACATGCCGGATGTGTCGAAGGCCATGAGTTGGGTCATTCCCCCTTACAGTAACTGTCCTTAAAGCTGTTTTGTTAAGGGGCGAGTATAACTCCTATTACTTTGCCTGTTGTAGTAACTGTTCCTGCAAGGGGAATGACCGAAGACATGCAGTCTGCTGTTTTGGACTGGAGGGACTGAAGCTTGGCAAACAGAAAGCCACCAGCATGAGCATGCCATGTAGTTATAGCCCCCCTTAATTAGATAGCATATGGGGCACATGGGGATCTTGTTCTAATATACCCAAAGTCATATTCTAGCTACTTAAGGGGGACTATATGAGCTGGAGTACCATCCTTTGAGCACACTGATGAGAATTTCTTGGTCAGGTTCTCTCCCAGCGCGGCGTCCTTCCCCGGAGCTTCTTGCCCGTGGTGGATGCCCAAGATGTCTGCAAACCCACATGCACCCCCTCATGAGATGATGTTTAGTGAGTTACCGAGGAGGCCTTCTCCGACAATGCATGGTGATGGTGACAGGTGGATAACAGTGTCATGAATAGTATTAATATGAACATGTAAAGCCCTTCATATGACGCCAATTTGTAGCCTGTTATTGGATGGAGGCGGTACCCAAGGTATGATGATGGCCGTTGGTGTTTTTGCTACTATCGAAAGGCATCAGGCTTCATATCAGTGCTTCCTCATCATGGGCTATTGATGTGTGGAAGATTGCCAAACACGCTCTGCAAAGGTGCGTCCACACGTTACTCTGCTGTACATCGGAGGTGCGGTACTTTGCGGGGATTTGGTGTTGTGGCGCCTACCTACATGGGTATTTCCACAAGCTATTGGTCCCTGTTGAGGGTCCACGTACTTCTGGATGGGGGATTTATTCGGAATCTCCGGGGCCGAAACTTCTGGAAACTCCCATACGAAACTTCTCCAAGGTCCTCGTCCTACTGTGAATGAACGGCTGCAAACGTGTCGGGTGCATACGGACCCACGTTGCAGATGTCTTGGTACCATTGAATCCTCCTGAGTCCTGCCTTAAAAGGGGGTTATATAGGGGAGTATTATAGGGCTCTAGGCTAAAGGGGTCATTAAGGAGTTCAGACTGGCTCATTGGGGGTTTAGGGTTCAGCTGTCAACATCAGGGGCATGCTTGTGGTATCCCAACAGACAATTCGATAATGGAAGCCCCAGAAGAAAGCAACAATTTGACGACCGCCCTGCAAGTCATAGAACCGAATGCAACCCCCGAAAAAAATACAACGACCACTATTGTCTAACTTTAGCAGCCCGCATGCACCAGCAGTTCTAGTTCCTTTAGACTATTAGAAGCTCTACATCCTATCTCAGCCTCAAAGCAGAGTCTCAAGACTTAAGCCAAAAATCCTGAAACTCCACAACCCTACACTCCAAAGATGCCCCAGACCAACCGAATTACTGCGTTCCGCAACCCTAAACCCTACACTCCTCAACCCTAAGCACTCCAGGTGATTTGTCCGAGGAGCGCGCGGCTGCTCGGGAGCACCCGGCCGGTCTTCAAGCCAATTGGGCGCTTCCCAAAATAAGTTAGGAATCCTTTTTTGGGGGATTATAAAGGATATATAGGGTTTACACAGGGATGTATGATTTCCATATAGGTGTAGGGTTTAAGGTCCCCGGCAACCTTTTTGGTTGCCGCATGATAATCGTGATATTTCGATCCCCTTATTGCAGGAAAATACGAATTGCAACTAGGGAATGTGCGCTGAGGGTTACGGAAGTTGGGTGTAGGGTTATATGGGTTTAGGGATTCTGGTCAAGGGTTTTAGGGTTTGGAAATTTGGGTGTAGTGTTTAGGGCGTGAGGAGTTGGTGTAGGGTTTAGTTCTTTGGGATAGGGTTTGGGTATTTTGGTTTGGGCAAGGGTTGAGGAATTAGAGTTCAAGCGTCATAGAGTTTTGCGATCGCAGATTTCGGGTTTGGGTCGAGGGGTGAGGGACTAGGAATGATTCGGATCTACGTCGAGACTAACTGAGGTTTACGGTATAAGACCGTCTGAGAACTTTCAGTTTATCAGGTTCCATGGATTGCGATTGATGCGTTTCAGCTTTTCAATCTATTGGTGTGAAACTGCACCGTTCGATGCTAACCCGTGTTGCCCTCCCCACGACTGTAAATTAAATGCCCGGCACATGAAGAAGAGCCTTTGTTTACTGGAACTTGCTGGCAACAGGTTGTTGACTTGTGGGGGATGAAATCCTTATCAAGGCTATGTTGATAGCTGAGTGCCCTAATTCCTTCATGCCCTTCTGACCGACAGTCAGGGCCAGCGTCAATTGAAACCTTCCATTTGGGGGTTCCACAACATGAGTGGAGCCAATTTCAACCCACTGTGCTATGATACTTCTTGTAGGGCCTCCCACAAAGGGCGCCCCCATTTGCGAACTCCCATATCCTGTTGCATCCGTGTGGATCTGCAGGAATCTTTGCAAATCCTTTGAAAGTTCTGAAGAAATTGAGAGCTATGAATCCCCTTTTGGAGCCTAACTATTCGGTTAGCCTTGGTAAATCCAAGAACGGCATGTGACAACATCCGTGAGCAACGATAGCATACTACACCTCATATATATGGGGGATCCAAAAAGGGACCATAATTTTGACAATCTCTCATATGCACTCCATCATTCTTGCCGGTGATTGCTATGAACTTGCCACCCTCGCTCCTAGACCTTAGGCAGACACCTTCCAAAGCGCTAATCCCCACACCCAAAAACCTAGCCCCAAGCCTGAACTGAAGCCTACTCTTAAACCTTCATACTTAGATTCTAAACCTTGGCGCCAAAACCTATTCTAAAAATCACCCATGAATCCCAAACTCTGAGCCTTGAACCTTTAACTTTATCTGGACCTCATGGCCCCAAAACCTCTCAAATGAGTTAAGAGACCGGTATCCTATCTCTTACAACTCAAAAACCCAGACCCCAAACCTTAACCCCTGAATCCCTATACCCTAAACCCTAATTCTCGGTTGAAGCCATGGCAACCTGGGATCCTTATACATCTACTATATACCCTATATATATATATATATATATATATATGTACCCTTGAAAGGGCCATAGAATCCCCCAAAAAGGCCTACGGGCCCATATTGGGGGGCCCATGCTTCTAACCGTTTAGTTTAAGGGCTTGGGGCTTCGGGTTCCTAAACCCTAAACCCTGTAGAATATAATCCCTTCATGTTCTTGCGGTCCAGGTCGAGCCTACTCCAACCAAAACAGCAGAGTAGTATTTTATTATGGGGTACCACAGTACCCAACGGAGAGCAAGATAAGGTCCTCCTTCCCAGTCTAGTAGCTTATATTCAGAATGTATTCTTATTGGGCCCTAGCTAAACGCAAAACTCTAAACCATGTACTGGGTCCAACCATTAAAGAACAGTTGCTCAGCTGGCCAGGCGGGCCTCTCCATGTCAGAGTTCCAAGCTGCCAAGCAGACCTTGGAGGGACTCAAAGGCGGGCTGCTACATGAGGTGGGGATTATAATTAGGGGTACCCTTCAAAAAGGAGGTAGGGGTTTAGGGGGTAGGGTTTGGGGATTGGGATTTTGAAGTTTCAGGGCCAGGGCTTATAGGGTTTGCAATCAGGGCTTGAGAATTAAGGTTGAGTGTATATAGGCTTCTGTAGGACGACTGGGCAGTATGCATATGGGGCGTCCATGGGGGGTGTAATGGCTATAGGGTAGGCGGACCTACCACCCACTTACAGTGTATGGGGGATCATGATGACTATAGTAGGGTCCTCTTATATTCCTATTATAGCACTATTACAGGGTGGGGGTCCACCTCAGCTATGGGCCCTGTCTTGCATGGGAACACTAGGGAATCCAAAGTTGGATCCCCCGGAAGAGAGCCCGGGTGCTTCTTTGGTGCAACTAATGTAGCTAAGGGGGTTGACGGTGTAGGGCTTAGGGTTTAGGGGATTGATTTCTTGGATCCTTTGCATGCTCTCCCCAACGTTGAGCTATCCTTGTAAGAGTGCTGGGTAACACATTTGTGTGTTCTTGCATTCTTTGGTCCAGAGGTGTTTGTGAGGCATTCGGCCCATGCCAGGGAGAACCCTAATTCTGGCAAAAACCATCCCGACATTTCCCGACCATGGCTCAAAGTAAATGAGTACGATTCATGTGTTTTCTGGAGTGGTGCTCTACATTGGCAGAAGCCAGGATCCCACTTGCATGTTATTATCACTATTATTGCCATTATTACCATATTACTATTCTTTTTGTTATTTGACTGGGAAGGTGCCACCGTGGCCATCAAGATGACGGAGATCATCATTGACGAGAATGTGGTGCAATGCCTAGACACATCCTACGTGCGGCTCTTTTTATCCAAGGGTTGCATCTAGTACAGTACAGTGGTTGCTCGTGAGGAAGCCCTTGAGCGCGTTCATCACAAAAGGGTTGCATCTAGTTGTGATGCAATAGAGAGTGCATCCCCACCCTCAATTCAAGAGTCATGAGCTGTCAGAGAATTCTCGATCTCACTGTAAGGGTTCCACGACATAGCGTAAGACATGTGAGTTTCAGTGGCGTCGCAGCAAATCTGAAACCAAGGCCTGCGCCCTTGTGGATCTCCCCGAAGGTGTCCCTTGCGGGAGCAAGGCGCATCCGTATGAGAATTTCTAGAGGGGCTAGAGAGACAGTTTCATTTTTAAGGGCCTGCCGCAGATCAATGCCCAACCCTTCAGCGTGCTCAGCGTATTTCAGCGGGTGCTGCGCCTCAAGCTGGACGACGACTCAGGTGCCAGAGTACAAAGCCCAAGTCTGCTGCCGGAGATGGCAGCGGGCCAGGGCTGACGACGAGACGAGACGGCAACCAAAAAGACGGAGCCAAGGGCTGACGAGGACTCAGCCCTTGGCACAGACAGACAGGGGTTGGGAAGCGGCCAGTGGAGGGGGTTTTCTTTTGCAGTGCGTCTGCCCCACGCGCGGCGGCTCTCGAAAACTGTTTACGGTATCATGTGTCATTCTCATCATCATGCGCCCGGCCCCTAAACCTTCTCTACCTTGACTCTGGAAACCTAACGACTCCTCTACTTGCTCAGAAAAACGGAAAAGGCCCTGCGGTCGGAAAAAGGGAAGTGTCCGGCTTCGAAGAGAGCTGTCCACCACGGGGTTGGCGGATGGCTCCAGCGAGGGGCCCCGATTTTTTGCGAGCGCCTAAAGACAGCTTTCAGAAAGTCCTTAATGCCGTCATACTAGCTTTCAAATACCCCTTGCATTAAATTTTGCCCCCCATAAGAGACTTTAGATAATATGGGGGGTTCGCATTTGATATTAGGCGTGTGTGGAGGGCGCGGTGGCTTCATGGCTTTATAGTACTATAACTTGCTGGTGGTTAGTAGGGAATGACGGAAGATCTCTTATTTCCTACTACCTCCAAACCCTAAACCCTACATCAACTATTCCCTTCTTCCCTACTAAGCGTTACTCACCCCCAGTAAGATACCCTAAACCCTAAAACCCAAACCTGAGAGTAAAGGGATTACTCGGGTTGTTCTCAAAATTATGAGCCGCTTTTGGTCATGCATTATATTTCGGCACCTAGTCTTTAGGGGTCAACACCCTAAACCCTGAACACTAGGCCCTATTCTTGGAAAGGTACCTCACCTGACTCTGGGCACCCGGCAAGGAGTGCTCCGTCCTCAGAGGATGTGAAAGATCCCGCTTTGCCGTTGCATTCTAAAATCTTCCTGGGGGTCATAATATGGGCTTCAGGGTTTAGGGGTTCATAGTAGGGAATAAGGGAATATATGATATAGGTGTTCTACAGGGATTGTATACCCCTGACCCCCCAGTAAGCTCAGCATACTAGAAGATTTGCCCTAATTCCCTACTGGACCCTGGAAGTCCTACCTTTTGTGCGGTATACCCTACAAATTTATGGGACATAACCAATAAAAGGAAGGATATCCAGCGTCCAGGTAGTATGAGGTGCTTAAGGTCAGGCAGCGTTTTTGTATCAAGGGTGTGTTGATTTCGTGATGCGGCCAAGATGCAGAGCATTCGCAACATGAATTAAGATTTGCCTAAATTCCCCAAACCAAGGATTTAGAGGAATTACTCTAGGGCTTGCAAAGGAGGATACTAGGAGTTTAGACTATGGCTCACATGAACAGCACTCCCGCAAGCAAAAGGCAATTGTTGTGTTCAGCTTGATGTACCGAACCATGGCTCTAGACAGCCTTGAAACATGCTAACTAATTGTGGTATCTGAGTTAGTTCATTGAAACCCCCGGTTGCATGATCTTGATTTCTGCTGATGAAGAGACCTGCTTCCAGGCCAGTGGTTCACACATGAGATGGGTATTTCCAAAAACAGCATTGTAGCTTCCATTTGATTCTCAATTTAACTGTTCAGCTGATTCTCCATCATTTGGTCTCCCCTAAACCCTTAGCCCTAAACCTTAGACTGACATATACCAGATGTTCCAGCATGGATAGAAAGGCGAGGGGATACAGTCCTTAGCCCTAAACCCCAAATCCCAAACCCTAAACCCTGACCCCTTGCACAGGCCAGCGCGGCATGCGAATGACATCTTGGAAGAGGTGCGTGACGGCCGCAAAGAAGGCATCTTTGCTGCTGTCATTTGAGCTATAGTCTAACCTCCTAAAAGGGGGGGTTATAATTATAGGGGATTTTATAGGAGACTACCACAGGGGCTTACTAAGGGGCATTTCAGCTTAGCAGAAGGTTCTAGACTCTAAACTATCCTACGATAAGCTGCAGGCATCACCCGGATCCGCCTGCCGAAGCCAAAGGAGCTTAGAGGCCTGCCGGGATCCCAGAGAATTTGGTTGGTTGTGAAAATTATGGTCCCTTTTTGGGTACACTAAACATTAGGGGACCCAAAAAGGGACCATAATTTTGACAACCACCGATTTCCATGTTGAAGTCAAGGCCAGATGAGCTATAGTCTAAAATCCTTAAAGCGGAGTTTATGTAGGGGAGAATTATGGGGGTTATGAGGGGGGATGCTAGGAGTTTAGACTATAGCTCCAATGCACTGAAGAGCTGAGGTTGGACTTGGAGACGTCGGCCACGTACAGCGGCAAGACCTAGTAGACAGCGGACGAGCAAAAGCAGAAGCTGTGAGCATGTTTTGCACTGAAGTTTTGGAGCACAGTACAGCTGGCATTCGTCGTGTGAGTTGCATTTCCCAACTTCCCAGTACCACTATCACCAGACCGGCAAGCAGCATGGTTATAAGCAAGTTTGGATGGTAGTTTCACTGCACAAGGGACCCCACTATAGACCCCACAATTCTATAATCCTTATTATGGGGAACCCTATATACCGATATACCCCTGCACATCCCTATATGAACCCCTATATATCCCCTATATAAACCCCTATATCCCCAAAAGTCTCTGAGTGCCTCTGCTGCAAACTTCTCCAGGCGGAGTGTACAGTCATCAACTTCACTGTCACGGAGCAAGGTTTGCAGGACCTGCCTGAAGCTGGGTTGCTGTTGAGGAACATAAGTTACCCATTTTCCGGGCTAATGTTCAGGAACCTAAGTTACCCATTTTATGGGTTAATGTGAAGGAACTTAAGATACAATTTTATGGGTTAATGTTGAGGAACTTAAGTTAACCTGTAATGGGTTAGTGTTAAGGAACTCAAGTTACCATATTATGGGTATGTCAAGGAACCTGATTTACTTTTTTTTAAGGGTTACCATGCTATGGGTTAATGTTAAGTCACTTAAGTTACGATATTATGGGTATGTTAAGGAACTTAATTTACTATGTTTATGGGTTACCATGTTATGGGGTAATGTCAAGGAACTTAAGTTACGATATTTTGGGTATGTTAAGGAACTTAATTTGCTTTATTTATGGGTTACCATGTTATGGGTTAATGTCAAGGAACTTAATTTACCATATTATGGGTATGTTAAGTTAATGCACTTGAGTTACCGTATTATGGGTATGTGAAGCAACTTAAGCTGCCATATTATGGGGTATGTTAAGGAAGTTAGGCTACCATACTATGGGTTTGTTAAGGCACTTAAGCTACCCATATGATGGGTATGTTAAGAATCTTAAGTTACCCATATTATGTATATGTAAAAATGCCGGGTTTCCTCAGAATAGCACCGGGTCATCAGTGTCAAAGTGGGAGGGCTAGGAGGAGGAAGAGGAGGAGCAGTAATTAGTCGTAGTAGTTGTGGTAGCAGCAGTCGCAGTCGCAACAGTAGTAGTAGTAGTAGTAGTAGCAGCAGCAGCAGCAGTAGCAGTAGCAGTAGCAGTAGCAGTAGCAGTAGCAGCAGCATCAGTAGTAGCAATTGCAGCTTTAGTTGCAGTCGTCATCATCATCAGCATCATCCTTGTGGTCGTGGAGGTAGAAGGCAGCAGCGACGTTTGATGTGGGGGAGGAATCTGAGGAGCTGCCCTACATTGTAGTTTTCATTTTCTTTTCCATGATTCCTATGTAGCCACTATATAACCCCTATATAACCCCTGCAATCAATGTTAATTACTGACCGATTCTCTCCCAAGGAAGGACGATGCATGATGGCAGTCGCTTTAAGTGTCATAAGTGGTGCTTGTACCATGCAAGAGTCGTAGTTGCTAAGAGCTGCTGCGATGTCTGTCTCCTATCACACCGTACAGGGCTCTATGCCCATCCAGGGTTGGCCCTGCTATATAATATGGGCATGATATAGGGGTTATGTAGGGGTTATATGAGGTTGTGTAGGGGTTATATGAGGTTATGTAGGGGTTATATGAGTTTATGTAGGGGTTATATGAGGTTATGTACTGGTTATATGAGGTTATGTAGGGGTTATATGAGGTTATGTAGGGGTTATATGAGGTTATGTAGGGGTTATATAGGGGCTTTATAGGAATCATGGAAAAGAACATGGACGCTACTACTTAGGGTTTTCAAAGAAAGGTGTGGGCGCTTGCTCACACTTGCTGTTGGATGGCACGCTGTTTGATTTCCGGTACTTGCAGGCATATGCGCCCGGTGCTACTGGAGCCCCAGAAATTGCCGATGTGATTCCTCTAGATTTCTTTCAGATGTGCAACACCAACTGCCCAAAAGCTTTTCTCTGCTTATTAAGGGCCCCGATCTTCGTCTGAAGCACATCAGCAGGACCAGCTCCTTTTCTTGGTCGTGAAGCTGGAGAGGCAGCTTAGAAACGATGCTTGGGGGTTAGGGTTTAGGGCTTAGAGTGGGGGACATGGACTTGATACTAGGGGGTATTACCCCAATATGTCATATGAGGGGTCTTGTATTACAGATTACTAATATTGTGGTCCTCGATGTCAGATTTAAGCTACAATGTTGAGAGCTGATGCTTGTAGCTTACGGAGCAGGCCAGGAGTTGGTCATCATGTAAACAACAGATAACCAGTACATGGAGCTCAACAGTAGGTGAAATCATGGCCCCGAACTCCAAAGCATTTTCCAAAAGGTCACTATTCTACATATTGGGTTTCCCGGTAATTGGTTTGCACTCCTAGGTGGTTTGGTTGACTTTTCATGGTTTTATTTGACCATCTAATAATTCTGCATGTTTAGGATGCGTTCCTAACTTTCCACTGTGGTGATGCTTGCTGAAAAGGAGGCGACTACAAAGCTTGCCAAG